ATGATTTTTTTTCTTTAGCTGTTTTTAATATTTCAAAATTTATTTTTTTTTGCAAATATGCCCGAATGGGTTAAATTGTTTATTTTTATTCATTGTGGGAGTACAGCGTGTAAATATCTTAGAAGGTTTTGTTTTAAAATTTAAAAATTAAATAGGTACATTTTCAAAAATAAATTAATGACATTTACAAATTTTAATCTAAAAAACTAATATTTTTATTTAAAACAGCACCATTTCAAAATTAACATTTCCCATGCCTGTGTTGAATTCAATATGAGAGTATAAATCGTTCTCTTTTCTGATTTTTCGCTCTTGCAAAAACTGACCAATAGCAGGCATTGCCTGGCTCTGGTGTAGTGGTGTAGGGTCTAGTCCCTACACCGGCAGAGAGTAAAAAATAAGTTCTCTTATAGGTTTTTATCGTTTTTTATACATGTGTAAGCATACAAGCTATGAAATTAAGAGTGCAAGAAGGCTCTTAACAAAGGGGACTAGAGTCTAGTCCATAAAGAAATAAACACAGATGGCGACATGGCTCTCTTAAAAAAGTACTCTTAAGCTCAGTGACGTCATCAGTGCCTAGAACTGATTGTATGATATGAAAATTGTATGTGATTTATAATAGAAAAGTAAATAATTATGTTTAAAACTTTTTTTAACGTTAATTTTTTATTGCGGCAATAAAAATCCATTAAATCCATTGCTTTAATAAGCTAGGATCTGAAGGGAAGTTAAAAAAAAATTATTGCACACTATTTTGATTTTTTATTATTATTATTATTATTATTATTGCAATTTTTGACTGCACACCGCATTTTAATTTTTAATTTACTTTTTTTATTTTTTCACTATTTGTTTTCAAATTTCATGTGAAAAGTTTTTTACATTTAAAACATAGCAAAACATGGTGTGCAATAATTTTTTTTTAACTTCCCTTCAGATCCTAGCTTATTAAAGCAATGGATTTAATGGATTTTTATTGCCGCAATAAAAAATTAACGTTAAAACGTCTAAAATCTGTATAGAGCATTTCAAAACCGACGACTTTGAAAACAATTTACAATTCGAAATGGGTTAGTATGAAGCAAATGATTTCTGTAATAAATAGATTAGTCCCAATTATATTTAAATAAGTTTATTATTTAAATAAGTTAAATATTCCTAATAACATTAAACGTAAAATACATTTTATTTTATTAGACACAAATAAGTTTTAAACATAATTATCGGCAAAGAGCTTTGTTAAGAGCCTTCTTGCACTCTTAATTTCATAGCTTGTATGCTTACACATGTATAAAAAACGATAAAAACCTATAAGAGAACTTATTTTTTACTCTCTGCCGGTGTAGACTCTAGTCCCATACAAGCTATGAAATTAAGAGTGCAAGAAGGCTCTTAACAAAGCTCTTTGCCGATAATTATGTTTAAAACTTATTTGTGTCTAATAAAATAAAATGTATTTTACGTTTAATGTTATTAGGAATATTTAACTTATTTAAATACTAAACTTATTTAAATATAATAGGGACTAATCTATTTATTACAGAAATCATTTGCTTCATACTAACCCATATATACCCATATAGGGATATATAGAACAAAGTAATTAACCGAATCTTATATACCCTTCACCATAGTGTATTTAGAGGTTGTCTTTTTCTCATATCTCCGGTATTTATGGACCGATTTTGCTGTAATTCTGTTAGACATGCTTTCTTCTCGAAAGCATGTCTAACAGAATTATTGAAAATTCGGATCTCGCCGATATCTGGCGTCCACTAAAAACTGATTTCAACAAACACACAGACAGACGGATATAGCTTAATCAACTCCGCTATCTATAAGGATCCAGAATATATAAACTTTATGGGGTCGGAAAATTATATTATAGAAATTACAAACGGAATGACAAACTTATATACATATACCCTTCTCACGAAGGTGAAGAGTATAGTGAAGCACGGGAAAGAAAGAATAGGAAATGAAGAGCATTAAGCGATCTCATGTCATTTATATATTACTTACAACGGTCAAATAAACCCTCCTTACGTTTGAATGTAGGATTACTTATAGTAATGCGATGGTGACAACTTGTTAGAACCTCGCTTGTATGTCTTTATCTTCTTCTATTCTGGTTTTCGGTTTTTTTCTTTTATTGTAATTTGATTTGGGTTTTAATTATATCTACAGTTATCAATTATCCTTCTTTTGGAGTTATTTTAAATTCCGCTAATTATTTCACTTTACTTAAATTAAGTTTCTCCTTTATTTAAAACCCAGTGTGCTTCGCTACCCTCATCGTAATGGAATAAAATAAATATAATTATTGTAAATGTATATAAGTATATCTGCAATATCAAAAAGCCCCCTTTTAGAGAACTCTTTAAGTTGAATTTTATGATTCTAGTCTCAATATTACAGAAAATTAAGAAAAAACCGTTGAAGAACGATAAAGTACCAGACAGTGCCTTTTTATAGATTTTCATTAAATCAGGATGACGCATGTTTAATTTTCAACCAGAAACCAAAAAAAATCGCATACAGATTTTTATACAATCAGGAAGCTGCGTGTCAAATTTTATGTTTTTACGTACAATATTATAGAAAATTCGAAAAGAATTAGAAAAAGAACAAAAAAGGATACTCTGGTACCTTTTTAAATTTTCATTCAATTATGTTTACATATGGGCAATTCCATACGATTGTATGTGACATTCGCACACCTTCAAAGTGGTATAGATTTTGTAAAATTAGGAGTACTTGGAAAACAATTTTCAATCTGTTTCATTTAAAGAATACTATATTTGCAAAAGGAATCATCCCATTCGGAACCTTGTTTTCCAAAATATGAATTAAATTATGGCGATATCATACGTGACAAAAAACGGAAGTGCTTTTAAAGTACATGTTATTATTTACGAAAATCTGCGAATTCTGTAGGTGTATCTTTTTTGTTTTAATTTCTTACACTATGGGACATATTTTTCATTAGTAATCCATAATTTTTAAATAAAAAAAAAATAATATAATTTTATAATGAACATATTTAAATATCGTACGCGACACATCGTGTGTGACAGATTTTTCTCCTGATTTTGTTTTAGGTTATAAAATATATATTTTGGAAATATATGCATACACACACTTCAACAAATCAAAAGGAATAGAAGAGTGCAGTCGGACATGGCCGACCTATATACATGTTTAAGCAATTTATAGAAAAAAATAAAAAACTGGAGTTATATGGCGACTAGGGTCAAATATGGACCGATCATCATAAAATGCTAGGGTGTGATTTTAATTAATATAAAACTTATTTGTGCCAAATTTTATCATAATACTAGTGATTAGAGGTGAGTTACGGACGTTTAAGTGTTTTAATGAGGTCAAATTGTTATGAAAATCGGCATAAAGGTTTAGGCTTATAAACATTTTAGATCTGCCGATTTTTGAAGGGATAGTATTATAATTAACAGAATTATGAGCTAAAAAGAGATATTTTCGGTTCCGTTTGTATGGCGGCGAGGTGTAAAAATAGACCGATTTCAAAAATTTCCAACAGTCTTCGTCTTTGACGCTACAAAAGATCATTGGAGGCAAATACTTAGCACAAAGGATTACAAGTAATTAGAAAAAGTTGTCAGCGTAAATCGCATGAAAATCGTATACAGCTTTTATATCTTTACTGGCAAGATGACTAATGAGTTAGAAAGTATTTATATAACACATTATTAGTAAGACCTTATTAGACTACTTCTGTGTAATCCAGACGATATGTCGTTGTCATTGAAAAGTTGTTAGGTAAGTATTACAATTGGAAACCATTACCCAGTTTTTGCTGGGTTCTCACTTAATACGGGCTCTACATGCTTTCACGTTTTTAGGTTCAATATTATACAAAAATTCAAAAAGTATCTTTTGAAGAACGAAAAATGACCAAAAAGTCCCCTTTTATAGGTTATCACTTAATCCGGGCTCTACATTCTTAATTTCATGTTTCTAGGTTCAATATTATAAAAAATTCAAAAACTAACAGTCAAAGAACGAAAAAGTACCAAAAAGTCCCCATTTATAGATTCTAATTTTCTCCGGGCTCTACATGTTTATTTTTATGATTCTGTATTTAATTTTATAGAAAACTCAAAAAGTACCAATCGTAGGACGAAAAAGTACCAAAAAGTCCCCTTTTATAGATTCTCATTTACTCCGGGCTCTACATACTAGGTTTAATTTTAAAGAAAACTCAAAAAAGTACCTTTGTAGAACGAAAAAGTACCGAAAAGTCCCTTTATTATTAATTTCATGTTGCGATTTCAATATCATAGAAAACTCAAAAAGTACCAGTTGGAGAATGAAAAAGTACCAAAAAATATCACTTGGTACCGGTGTTCCAAATAACACCCCATTATCATATTTAGTGTTTCTAGATCTAAAAATTTTATATAAATTGGATCATTGTGTTTAAATGAAATCAAATTTAAATGAACGACGATAAGCTTTAAACTGTTTTTGTATCTTTTATAGTTTAGGAAATATGAGGTTACCGAATAAAATAAAAAAATCCTGTCTTAGTGGATCTATTTGGTGAGAGACCAACCTCCTGTCCAAATTTCAGCTCTTTAGCTTCAACCGTTTAGGCTGTGCGATGATGAATCAGTCAGTAAGTCAGTCAGTAACGTTAGAATTTGATATTAGATTACTAATATCATGAATAAATAAAACAAACTACCACGTTGCATTCACAAAATATTCACCCTTATTATGTATGTCGTTGTCGACACAAAGTCGCGTCGACGACTTAAAAATGGTATTTGCATTGTCGTTATCGATAATAATTGACTGCTGTTGACAATAATTTGCAATTTTGTAAGGCGCTTTAAAGTCAATGTCGTGTCGACTTCTTTTCTGTCGACAAGGGATTTGGCGACGACTCTTACAAAAATTTAGAATTGGTGTCGGTAAATTTAATAAAATAAAGTTTGAATTAATTAAAAATGGAGAAAAAAAATAAAAATTACCAACGGAAAGCAATTTGAAACCCTAATGTCGGAACTGGAAAAAAATCCATGCTTGGCAAAGGGGTTTAGTAGAGGCACAAATCCAACAAATTTTAAAAACGATTGGGAACAAATCGCAGTTAAGCTGAACTCTATTGGGCCACCTATTAGAGATAGCGATGGTTGGCAAAAGGTAATCAATAAATTTATTTTATTTAATTTTTTTAATGCGCAATATATTTTTAGGTGTGGAGAGATTTTAAATGTAAAGTGAAAAAGAAATTGGCTCAGAATAAAGCCGAAGTAAACGCAACGGGCGGCGGAACGTTTAAACAATTTTCACTATCACCATTGGAAGAAGCTGCAGCTAACCTAATGCAGTTCCAAAAACAATTAAATCCCGAAGGTGAAGTACATGGAATTCAAAATACATGTGAAGAAATCGAAAACTTGGTGGAAAATACTTTAGGTTAGGTTAGGTAGGCAGGTCGTCCTCGCGATGTCATCACTGGGGACACACTTGGGTCCAGAATTTTGATCCCTTTGTGATACCTGAAACGAGAGAGAACGGTCGGCGTATTAGTACACTTCAACCTAATCACTCTGGCTTCCACCGAACCAGTTTGTCGCACGAATATAGGAATCTATCTTTCGGATATCAACCTCCGATAGATCCGCTAAGTCATGCAGAAAATAGCTACCTAGCAGACCCACTCTGTGATCAGCTAGGGCAAGACAATGACAGAGGAAGTGAGTTATACTCTCTTCTTCCTCTTCATCCTGGCAGCTCCTGCAGAAGTCGTTACTGGGTAAGTTCAGTCTTCTTGCATGGAGTCCGAAAGGCCAGTGGCCAGTTACCACTGCCGTTAAGTTCCGTAGATTAACTCTCGGAATGTAGAAAAGGGCTTGGGATCTTTGTGGGTCGTAAGATGGCCACATGATCCTTGCCTGTCTACAGGTGGCTTCAGTCGACCATCTGCATTGCGCAAGCTCATATAGTTTTTCACGTATCGAGCGTTTGCAGGTTGAAAGCGGTATACCGACAAAAGGGTCGGTATGCTCTCCTGCAAGCGAGGAGCCTAACTTGGCAAGAGAGTCCGCGATGGTATTACCAGGAATTTGCTGATGTCCTGGAATCCAATACAGTCCTATTGTGGAATGTTTCGCCATCTCGTTAAGGGATGCCCGGCATTCTAGGACTAAGTTTGACGTCGTGTAGACACCACTTAGAACCTTAAGGGCTGCCTGACTGTCGGTATAAATTCGAATATTAACACCGTATATTCGATAAAACCTGAGCCAGTTTGCAGCCCGTTTAATGGCTGATAGTTCAGCCTGAAGGACGCTACATTGGTCAGGAAGCTTGAATGATACTTCCGTTCCCGAATGTGCTATGTAAAAGCCACCGCCTACACCATGGTTTGATTTTGAGCCATCAGTGAAAACCTTATACGATCCATCATGGAGGATTGTTTCCATCACATTTGGGTCGTCTCGGATATTCACCGAAAAGCTTCTATCAAAAGACGGTTTGGCGATGCAATAGTCGATATTGCCAGGAATTTCTCCTAGACAATTGAGGATGGTGGAGTGACCTGACTGAATCATATGCCACATACCAATTGTATTGAGTCTAATAGCCGCGTTGAGGGCAACCTCTTGGGCCATTAGATCAATAGGTAGCCATCCCATCATGACAAAGAGAGCCTTTGATGGGGTGGTGCGGAGAGCCCCCGTTATCAACAGAGCTGATGTACGAAGGATTCCCTCAAAACGTTTGCGGTGGAAAATACTTTGGATGAAGAAGATATTTTGCCATCAACTTCAAATATTAATAACAATACCAATCAACAAACACCTAATACAAAGAAAAAAATTAAAATTCATAAGAATATTGAACACCAGGAATTATTGGAAAAACACACCGACATGCAAAAAAAAATATTCAGTGAAATCTCTAATAATATGACCGATATAAAAAATGCCATGAAAGAGTCAAGTCGGTATCAGCGAAAGCTGTGGGAGATTGAACAAAAAAAATTAAAATGATGGAAAGGCAACACCAAAGGGACGAGCAATTATTTGAATTTGAAATGAAACTAAAGAAGATTAAAATGGAAATAAAAACAAAAGAATTGGAGGTCTTAGAAAAGCAATGTATGTAGTACTTAATGTATTTTAATTATTTCTTCCTTTATTGTTTTTTATAAAAATGAATTTTTATCTAGTTTTTAATATACATTATAATAAAAAAAATGAATTTCATTTACAGAAAACTTGCTTTTATTTGTTCTCTTATCTCTGAAGCTTCAGTATTTTGTGAATTTTCGGTGTGATCAACTTCAAAATTATCACTCATATTTTCGGAATTATTTATAACCCCCGAGTCGTTTCCAATATCAGTGTGATATTCTATACATACGTTATGTAATGCCACACAAACGTTTACAATTTTTGTTGCTTTTGCAGGTTTATAATGAAGCTGGCGAGCTCCAAGTAAACAGCGAAAACAATTTCTCTCACCAGCATCGCAACGTTGACGTAGAACTTGTTTTACACTGCTTATATTCTAAATTAGGGAATCATGAGATGATCCAGCATATCGAGCATCTAAAAATCTAATTCTCATTTTGTGATCACAAATCTAAAAGAATTATAAATATTATCAATTATTATGAAAATGTCAAAATTTATCTTACTATCATGGCGTTTAGGCTAAAAAATCCTTTCCTATTGTAATAAAGATTTTGACACTCTTTACTAGGAGCTAAAATTTTAATGTGCGTTCCATCTACGCAGCCAATAACTCCCGGAAATCCATTTTTCTCAAAAAACTCTAATTTAGCTTCAGCCTTTTCTTCTTCTGTCATTTCAAATTTAATAAATAGTGGGCATATGACCCTTTGCAAAACGTCTAAAGTCTCTTCCAAAACTAAAGAAGTTGTGGATTGCGATAATCCAAGATTGAAGTCATTGCCAACACTCAACTGGTACGATCCTTGCGCCAAAAACCGCAATGTCGTTGCAAGTTTTACCGTGTTGGATATAAAGGTTGATCGTATTCCACTCTTCATTAAGGGCTCTATATTTTCCAAAACAAATTTAAACGCCGATTTGTTTAAGCGAAAATATTCAACAAATCTGTAATAAAACAAGTAAGAAACTATAGTCGGGCGTGGCCGACCATATGATACCCTACACCAGTTATGAATATTAAATGTGATTTATTTTTCATAATAAAGCATTTATCTTCAATATTCCCTTGTTCCGATACATTTAAGCAATTTATGGATGAAAAACTAATTTTCTGAAAGAGGCTTTATATGGGGGCTAGGAGCAAATATGGACCAAGCCCGATAACATTTTGTGAATATATTTATATTTACATAATATTTTATTGTGCTGAATTTCATCGCGATATTTGTGTTTATAAGTTAATTTGGGACATTCAAGTAATTTTCTGAAGGGGACTTTGTATGAGAGCTAGGGTCAAATGGGGCCCGATCTTTATGAAATTTGGCAGGGTCATCAAGACTTCTATAAAACTTAGTTGTGTCGCATTTTATCGATATATCTGTATATTTAACATAATTATGACCTCAGAAGCCCTTTTCGGGGGGTTCTGTTCTATGGGGGCTAGGTGAAATAATGGACCGATTTTAACCATTTTCGTCCTTGGGTCAAATAAAACATGCGTGCCAAATTTCATCCAATTATCTTGAAAATTGCGACCTGTAGCTTGCGCACAAGGTTTACATGGACAGCCAGCCAGATGGACGGACGGACATAGCTTAATCGACTCAGAAAACGATTCTAAGCCGATTGGTATACTTTAAGGTGGGTATAGGACGAATATTTTTGTATGTTACAAACATCAGCACAAATCCAATATACCCTCCCCACTAAAGTGGTGTAGGGTATAATAAAATTTAAGTACCTTTTTTGATTTTGGAAATACTCACCAGCTTATAAGAAAATGTTGATTACGTACTTACTATCCGGCAATTTAAAGATTTCCGATCTTTGCCTCAAGATTTTTCTTTGAAGCTTTAGGTTTTTTTTATTTTCTTCGTCACTTGAACTTTCACTTTCCGACATAAAAAACATTTTTGAAACAGATAAAATTCAAATAAAATGCAACAAATGTCACGAAATTAATAAAGATGATATTTATTTAAATTATCGATAACATGTCGACATCAACGCAACAGCCTTAGAAAATACCGAAATAGCGTCGACGTGATGTCGACGTCGACTTGAAGTGACAACGACTACAAATTGATAACGTCGTCGACAACGACATACATAATAAGGGTGATTGTAAATGTCTTGTACGAATGAAATGCACAAAGGAAAAATGGCAACCATACAAAACGTACCTTTTTGCTGAAGTTATATATATATGACTTGTTGTGTGTATAATTATTTATAAATGTTCCAAGCAGCGAAATATAAGAGAAATCTCCTCGGACCAAATGATAAGCTCAGAAGTTGAAGAGTTGAACAACTAGAGAGGAATTGGAAATTTGTTTACTCCGTCATACAAACCCCAATAGGAAAAGAGAACAAAATCAAAACAATTGGAATTATGGTTCTGTTTAAATAAGTAAAGATTTATTTAGGGACTTTTTGGTAATTTTTCGTTCTTCAAAAGGTGCTTTTTGAATTTTTTATGATATTGAACCTAGAAACATGAAATTGAGCATGTACAGTAGGGTGGGTAGAAAATAGGCTTTTCTCTCGGATCATCTTCTAATAGTGAAATTATGTTGTATGTTAACGTAAAATGGAAGACTGTAAAATATTATTTAATTATGAGGGTAAGAGCCCGCGCATCGCCGCCAAAGTTTGTAAATGCGTTTATATGGGAGAAAATGTATTACTTGTTTATAAAAAAAGCAAAGCAAGAACAACAATTACGAATGAAGCAGTGTGTTATTATTGGCCAGAAACATGAAATTATGTATACCCCGGATTAAGTGGGAACCTATAAAAGGGCACTTTTCGGTACTTTATCTTTCTACAAAAGGTACTTTTTGATGTTTCTATAATATTGAACCTAGAAACATGAAATTTAGCATGTAGGGCCCGGATTAGGTGAGAACCTATAAAAGGGGACTTTTTGTTTCTAAAAAGGTACTTTTTGAATTTTCTATAATATTGAACCTAGAAACATGAAATTTAGCATGTACGGCCCGGATTAGGTGAGAACCTATAAAAGGGGACTTTTTCTTTTTAAAAAGGTACTTTTTGAATTTTCTATAATATTGAACCTAGAAACATGAAATTTAGTATGTAGGGCCCGAATTAGGAGAGAACCTATAAAAGGGATCTTTTTGATACTTTTTCGTTGTACAAAAGGTACTTTTTGATTTTTCTATAATATTAAACCTAGAAACATGAAATCTAGCATGTAGTGCCCGGATTAGTTGAAACCCTATAAAAGGGATCTTTTTGGTACATTTTCGTTCTAC